ACCCAGTGACAGGGTTCCAAAATACATAATAAAACAAACTCTAACAGGACTGAAAAGAGAAATTGACAGTTCCACAATAATAGTAGGAGACTTCCACACACCGCTCTTGGTAAAGGACAGAACAACTAGAAAGAAACTCAACAAAGATACAGAAGAACTAAAGGGCACAATCAGCCAAGTTGACCTCATAGACATATATAGAACACTCCACCCGACAGCTGCAGAGTACACATTCTTTTCCAGTGTACATGGAACGTTCTCCATAATAGACCAAATGTTAGGCCACAGAGCAACCCTCAACAAAATCCAAAACACTGAGAGAATACAAAGTCTCTTCGCTGACCACAGTGCCATCAAGGTAGAAATTAACAACAGGAAGAGCAAGGGAAAAAACCAATTACATGGACACTGAATAACACCCTGCTTACAAACCACTGGGTAATAGAAGAAATCAGATGGAATCAAAAAATTCCTAGAATCAAACGAGAAGGAAAACACATCATACCAAAACCTTTGGGACACAGCAAAGGCAGTCCTCAGAGGACAATTTTTGGCAATAGATGCACACATCCAAAAAGAAGAAAGCGACAAAATAAAAACATTAGCTACACAACTCGAACAAAAGCAGAACAGCAAAAAAAAGCCGAGAGCCACCAGAAGAAATAATAAAGATCAGAGCAGAAACAAATGAAATAGACCCTAGAAAAACAGTAGAAAGAATCAACAAAACCAAAAGTTGGTTCTTTGAAAGGATCAACAAAATCAACAAACTGCTGGCCAAACTGAAAAAACAAAAACAGGAGAGGATGCAAATAACACAAATAAGAATTGAAATGGGGGACATTACAACAGACCCAACTGAATAAAAAAGATCATAACAGAGTATTATTAAAAAAATATATTCCAACAAAATTTGAAAACCTAGAGAAAGTGGACAAATTTCTAGAAACACACTACCTAACCAAAGTAACACAAAATGATGCTAAAAATCTGAACAGACTCCTAACAAGAGAAGAGATCGAAAAGGTAATAAAAAAAACTTCCAACAACAAAAAAAAATTCAAGCCCCAGATGGCTTCACTGGAGAATTCTATCAAACATTCAGAGAAGAGTTTACACCAGTACTACTCAAACTATTTCAGAACATAGAAAAGGAAGCGATACTTCTGAATACATTCTATGAAGCCATCATAAC